AGTGAAAACGATAAAATACCTTTGTTACAATGTCTCTTTTCGAAAGCGGAACATAGAAACGATTCAACTCTAAGAGTAATCGATCCAATCTGTGTGCTACAAAATATTCATTTTATTCTTTTATTCGAAGACATATCTTGCGCTATTGCTAGATTTCGACGTGAATGGCCAAAGAAATCAGAGACATTGGAAGATTCCACGCATTGAACGAGTGAAAAAAAAGTCCATATCTCAAATGAGAAGAAAATAAGATAATTGCAAATGATAATCACGTCTATTGCAATGCACTAACGATTTTTCTCGTCGCTTTGGTCGATGCTTGAGATTTCGTTGATATATGACATTGTTTAGCAGGTGTAAAAGTTTTTCAAATAAAGTATAATCCGAATGACGGTTGAAATATTTACAACATTTACCAACACCTTTTGAATATTCATTGTTGCTTGAGATGCGTCACTGCGATCCTTAATAAAGTTAAAAGCAAGCAATGGTTCAAAGCGATGCAATTTATCATATAGATCATACTGGAAAATGTTAAAAGTTCAACAAATTGCCAGCAACAACAAAACTGATTATCCTTTCATAATTTTTTTTTGCTACAAAATGTTTTCTTTGAGACTGGTTTTAGTATTTAAAAAAATGTGGTTGGTTCAATCGCGGAAAATCTTCTGGACGTAAAAGAGAATGTATTTAGCAATGAAACGCAAACGATTAATCTTCGTTGTACGTCGGACTTAGTCTCATTTAATATACTCAAGTTTTGCTTAAGAAAAGTTGAGCTTGTGCATAAGTTTCAAATGAAAAGTTCCATCGTTTTTCGTCTGTTTGCAAACCACAATATGCTACCGATCGATATCTGGAACCGTGTGGACTACTGAAAAACATACACACACAAAATAAAGCTGAGCGAACGTATTAAGCCGCAGTTCAAAGCAATTATAGTTGAAATGCATGAATGGTATAGTCATGTCGAGCATGTTTAAAAACCAATCAAATACTGCATTGTTGGCAATTCTCCCCTTACAAAATTATTATGAAACCGATAAATTCGATTTTAATGTCCAACATTAAATTAAGCGTCAGCATAAATTAACATTATAAACGGCGATAAATTTAATTAAAATCTGATTTATTTCGTTTGATCAAAATTCAGTCCAGAGTAAATTGTGTCACATTTCCAAACATCCGTGATACAAAATCATGCAATGCTATCAAATACCCGCGTGGAAGAAAAATAACTGACTGACTGGTTAGCTGAAATCGACTGAAATTGAATTTTGTTAACTGAAGTCGTCTACCCAGTCATCAACTATATAGTCAACTGCGATTGAAGTTGAATTAAGTTGTATTTTTCTCTACTAGAATTGACTGAAAAATCAGCCAAATCAACTTAAAACAACTTCAATCTCAGTTGGCTTTGGCCAAAAACGTCCCAAATTAGTTAACTGACTAGTCAGTCAGTAATTTTCCACAAGGGTAGAATAGTTTCTGCAAATGCAATAATATTTACAATCAAATTAATGACAATTTTAATTATTTGCCGCGAGTGGTTAGGCATGGAAGCATTGAATATCGTTACAGTTGTAAAAGGACCATTTAAAATTGCTAACATTCGAGTACATGAAATTTAAGTGCCTGTGAAACGAAGTTTCGGAACGAGTTCGGAACTGTCATTGTGAAAAATGTCGCGATTGTTTGTTTATTATTATGTGTCAGAAGACCATCCAAACCAATGTAAACAAATGGAAAATGACGCCCCCAATAATCAACATAGAACGCCCAAAAATAATTGCACCGATTTTAAAATAGTCATTTGATGTGACACTTAAACGTAAATCATACAAGAAATTCGTTGGCCATCTTAGATTTGAGGGACGAAATTATTGAAAATGCTATAGAAAGAGCGCAACAAAAGTAATATTGGGTGGATAATGCAATGATTATACTAATAATTGAGTTATGAATGCGATAAAACTGGCACAAGTGGCCATTTCTTCTTCTTCGCCATTTTTATATGCTTAAAGCATAATTCTTACTGTTCGAATAGAACATTGTTGCAACTTTTCCATTTTTCATTTAAAATGACAGGGAACGAAAATTGCGCATCTTGAAATAAATGTTTTTGTGCATCCTTCATCTTCGTACAGTCATTTCGACGGGCTTAATCTCTTGGATTATTTTCTCTCCATTATTTTGTCTTGGAAATGGGTAGCAACAAAAAAGAAATCAGTTAAAATAATGCCGTTTGCATTCACTGCCATATTTTTATGTGCACATTGTACTTAGGCGAGCATTCATATTGAATTTTTATGTCGGAGTTTTTCATGTGATGCGTGAAGCATTCAAAATTTCGTTTAATAAAGCATACTTGTTGTTGATGTTGACACACATGCATATTGCAAGAGAAACTGAAACACAGCGAAAGGCATCAGGAGAGACGGCATTGGCGTTCTATGAACCCAATTCTGATTTACGAGGAAATTGTTGAATTCACTATTTGACTGCCGCATAAATATTCTATGGGGCTGGCGAAAATAAGAATAATGCGCAGAATATGAATGATGCGAACAAAATAATGGTATATCCGTCGACGAAAAGATGTCTGAAAATCTCAATGACAGAATCTCATTCTTTGTTCAGTTCACCAATAACATTTTTATGTGCAAACCAGTGGAAGTGTATGTGAATGTGTGTGAATTTAATTTGTACATAAACTGCTTCTTCTAACAGAAGCAGCCAAAAACCTCTAACTATTATGCTCGCAGCAAATGAATATAACGATAACATTACCGAAAAGCCCTCGAAAGTCTGTAGCATCGCTCCGATGAATTTCTCCCTCGTGTTTCCTATTTCGAGGAACAAACAAACAAACATGTATGATAAAAAAAATGCAAAACATGATATATATAATAAAAAATATATGACAATGCGTTAACAAACCGTCAAGCAGAACAAAAGTCAAGCATAAATGACAAAAACTGTGAGAGTACTTTAATCATAGCCCACAAGCAAGCGATGAGAAAAAAAAAGAGATGAAAACAACGATTACATATTCAATAAAAAGAACCGTTGAAACGTTCGTTGTTTTTCATGTTATATCATTTTTCCCGGTTTTATATTCATCGTGGTTGTTGGTGCTGTTGTTTTCGCCACCACCGCCGTCTTCATTGTTGCTTTTTCTTGCTCTGTTTATTATCGCTGCCATTAATATCAGCGTATAAGTAATCATCCAAATATATTTAAGAGTGGTTCAGCTTTGTCTTTTTATGTGAACAATTTCGAATTGGGCCACAGTGTGTTCGCCACTGCTATACACTGGCATCAGTGCGGCGACAGCAGCACGATATTATTTTTCTTATCATATTGTTATATTATTCGAATGAACGAAACTTTACAAATACACTTGAACTGTGAAGAAAGCAGAAGTGGATTCCCTTTTATATGCTTCGAGCATCGGTTGTTTTGAACATTTTTTTCTCTCTCTCTTCATTTTGGATTCATCTGAACAGTTTGCCAAAAAGCTTCAAAACGACACAGAAAAAGTTCAACGCTTTTTCGAATGTGTACTTCGCAACAAATAACCAGACTTCAATGACAGAAAAAATTCATTCGAAACGATTCGCCATTTCTCTTTCGAAATCTTTTTCCTTGCGGTGGCAACACATTGATTTCACTTCTTTATTTTCAAATCGATATCATTCAACTTTGATTTTTTTTGCACAGCATTTTTACATTAGCAAACACGATTCTTTGGTATTTATTTTCGATATTTCCATGCAAAAATATTTACCAAGCGATTTTGGCTCCGAGATTGAACTTTCTGTTTGACTTTTGGTTCATGTTATTTTCATATATATATTTTTTTTCTTTTTGCAAATATTAAACGATTTGTGTGCGTATGATATGATTGAAATAAAGAAATGTTGAAGTTTTTTTCACCCCATAACGTCAGATTAATTCGAGAAAAGATGGATTTGCCAACAAAGAAAAAAATCATGGCCAATGATGATCACAAAGATCCATTTATTTTTATTGATTTCAACAAAAACTTTCACTTTTATCACAACGACCCTCCAGTTGAGTCAAGAATTTAAGGAATCAAGACATTTGACCGTTAACGTAAATAAACGGACTATAAAAACAACAAATGCAGCATTTAGAGCGTGTCAAAGTGAAAAGTTTCGTCTCCTTGTTGAACTCTGCTACTTTCATCAGCCGAATTTTAAATTGAATACATGCCAAGATTATTACTGTATACATCAGTCGCTTCTTTTGTTGCACATTGGTTTATAAATATTTCCTTCGGGTTGAAGTGGCTTGAAAGTGGGGAGAATGTCGCTTTAATATTGAATGTAGTCTACATTAGCACTTTGAAATTGAACTCGAGTCATTCGCACTTTTCTTACTTCCTTATATACATTTTCAAGCCAATCGAAGATGGCGCACAGCGTTCACACGACAAAGAATGAGAAAATGTAAAGTTTATTGTTTCCATTAGGATTTATTACGGTAGATTAACAACTTTATTGAAATGAGACATTTGAGCGATGAGCGCATCGAAAATTAAATTCCAAGCATGCTACAAGTGAAGTCAACGATGACGCAAACGAGAAGAAAGAAGGAAAAAATGACGAATCATTAAAAACATCATTCGACATTTGTAAATTGGAATCGCATGGTTTTTAATGCCGTCCATGTTGAACGGTTGCACTGAGCGGCACTGAGCTCCATGCGAAGTATTCTGATTTTAAATGGAAAATTTAACTATTCATTGAAAATGTGCGGAATGTTTTCATGAACGCTTTTTAATCGCGATGAGAGAAAAGAGCCATTAAAATGTCTTACGAAACCAAGATAATGAATTAGGTATTAAATATTTACGATTCGCGTACTTTGCCAATTTTCATTTGCCAAAAATGAATTAAATTCGTGCGGGATAATCGGCAGCATATTTGGTTCGATTAGCAAAAATTAATAATTATTTTAATGACTTCCTTTAGGATTCGTTCGGCGTACACATTCAAAAAATTCCGAACGGAACTGCGTGAAAATGAATTGAATAAATACCATCCATGCAATCACATTCAAGCACACATTTCCAAATGGAAAAGAGTCCATACAAAATGAAATGAAAGTTGTTAAAACGAGAGCTCAACAATATTTACAGCAAAAACTTGGTTTAATTAGAAAAACTAAAAAAAAAACGAGTTCTCTCGGTAAAAACTATTGAAAACCGAACGTTGTACAAAATTTTTAAATGATTGGAGAGGCGAACACTTAACATTTGTACATATATACAAAATTAAAATTCATTTCAAACCACACAACCATATATCCACGAACATCGAACGTGATTTGAAACCGAACGGAATCCGATACGAGGAACGAAAACTAAGTAGAATGTCGGTCGAAGAGTCAGATGCACCGCAATACATTGTAACCGCTCCGGGCGAGGAGAATAATGATGAAGACGATGATAAATCATCGACGACGACTACAACATCCACCGCAACGGCCAAATCGACAGCAACTGCCGTAAATGTCAAGATAAATAAAACTCATAATACGCGTAGCCAAAGTTTGCAATCGTCCACCACAACAATTTCGGCAGGTGGGGCTGGCGGAGGTGGAATCGATCAACAACTGAATTCAAATGCAACATCGTTGCTGCAACAGCTCAAAGCACAGTCCAGCATAAATATTGTGACAGAGAAGCACGTGCAAAAATTTTCAAGTAGTCAAACAACAACAGCAACCACGACGAGCAGTAGTTCGACATCGGCAACGGGTACAAAAAGTAAATTCACCAGCTTTTTACAGCATCCGGATACTTCAGCAATGTCACACGGTGCAACATTTTTAACAGCACAACAAAAGCATGTTCGTCAATTTGTGCGCTCAACATCGGCACATTCATCGACCGATAGCGCTGCTGGGGGCATTTCCATTTCGGGCAAAGCTGAAAAATGCATGCGAAGCACATCACAACAAATTGACGATGATCATCATAGCTTTTCCACCGAATATACAAACAAGGGATTACAACAATCGGCTGCCATTCTCATATCAAAATCAGCCGAAACCATCGAAGGTTTTCGCTCGAGCTCATCAACATCGGGCAGTATGCGTACACAACTTACATTGTCCGGCGGATTCTTAGCACCACCAAATCGAAAACTTACCATTTTGAGTCCGGTTCATGCACCGCCCGGTTTGCAAGAACTACTCAAAAAGCATCGATCTCCGCTATCACCACGCATTAGCTTTCCAGGCACCGATACCGAACTATTTCCGTAAGTTTGCATATTTTATTCATTCAATAGATACCACCTACGTCGGTCGAATCGCAAAATAATATCCTTTAATTTTCATTTTAATGCTCAAGATTTGCCACAAAATTTACACATTTTCGACATTTATTTGGGTTTTAGTTTTTGGAACACTCTTATTCTCACTATTAATTATGCATAAAATGTTTCGTTTTTGCCCTCAAATGTGCTCAAATGTACATTGACTTATAGGACCAGTTCTCGCTTTTGGGAGCGTGCCATCGATGTTGAACCGACTCAACTTGTGTGTATTTTTCACATGGCATTTGGCAACAAAACAAATCACATAGCAACATATACTCTAGTTTCAATTAATTAGAAAGTATAGACAACGCATTCAACATACGTACATACATTTCGATAAGATTTCCGTTTCACTGAGCGCGTACATGACATGGAAAACCGTAATTGCAATCGATGGCCTGGTACAAATTAAATTGTGTATGCCTAGGCTGTCATGCTCATCACGCTTGCACCCCCATCATTATTTTCGCATGACTGCAAATATCGGTCTCACAGTCGCAATGAATTAAATCGCCCGATTTTTGACGAGTGAATTAATTGAGTTCGAATAAAAAAAAGGAGAATATTCAATATGAATTAAAAGCAACGCACAAGAATTGAGCTAGCAATTGTTTTGTTTTCCAATCAAGTTATTTGAGTTATTAATAGACGTGTAATTAATTAAGATGCAAGAGGCACAATGCGTCAATTCCGATTTTCGATGAAATGTTCAACGATCGAACACTTCATTAACTTACAAACATTAAAGCCAAACTAATCACTTCACATTTAATTCAACCACAACAATTCGATGTGGCAACATGAATATTCAACGACATCAACCCACTCTCTTCCAATTCTTGTTTTACATAAATGCTTTAGATTCACAATTTCTCATCATCGCCTGGAATTTCAATTTTTTTAATCGTCATTTACACAAAATTCAAAAGGTAAATCAAGTAAATACGTGTCCAAAACAGATGTTGGCATTTGGCTGTGGGCTTTTCTTTTTTCTTCCTCCCTTCCAAATCGAACATTTATCAAAATTCTATATATAATATGCACGATTCTAATCAAGCCAATTCTTTGTCAGTGATTAAAATAAATTCAGCACACAACATTTCCAAAGAAAATTGGGGTAACTTTTGGGAGTTTTTTTTTTTCTTTTCAATAAAATCCGGAAATCCAATCGAACATAATAGAAACCATCAATTTTTTGAAATGTTTCTCTTTTTTCGTGTTATTTCGTTTCGATTGGGGCGAAATACGGCATAAGGTATACATATTTTTGTCACGCATCGAAATGGTATGCTAACAGCTCTTTTCTGTGATTGGAAAAATGGCATAGAGAAAACAACCTTTCAGAATTGTCAAAATCACACAAAATTGAATTTAAGGTCAAATTCCTTCGCATATGCCGTTGCTAACAAGCGCACATTTTTACGATACAAAAGGGGACATCAATCGTAGAGCATTTCGAGGAGAAATGGATTAAAATTGACTTAAACGAATCTATTGCATATAGTCCAAGTGAATAAAATACACTGTTTGCCATACTATCCCAAAATCAATATGTTTCAATTAGATAAACACATTTGTTTGACATGTAATAGCTCAAAATTGCTGACTGTGACAAACCAAATAGTTGATACTTCAACAAAATCCATAATATTTACACTCAAGCTTGCGTAAGCACGAATAAAAGGACACAAACGATCCCGTTTGTGAAATGTATGAGTGCAAAGTGTAAATGTCATGTCCTTAAAAAGGAAAACAGTTTTCAAACATCTCCGCGAACAAAGTTAAAAACGCGCAATGACTGTGAATTTTGTGTGAAAGAGAATAGCAGCAATAATGTCCAGATTGTAAATTTGTTTGGTTTCGAGCTGATTTGCATCAGCAGCTGAATGTAACGGCATTTGGTTGATTGAAATTCCCAAGGCCAACTTAAAGGGCAGTTTGTGATTGGCAAACGATGAATGAAACAGTATATTTTGATATTGTGAAAGTTTTCATGTTTGTTTGTTTTCGATTTGTTCGCGAATAACAAATATTTTGCTATTGAACGCAAATGGCAACGGAATCTGATAAAGTTTGTTCGTTTCGTTCGCTCTTCGAAAAATCAAAGACTCCATTCCATTCCATATTGGAATATGCGATATGTATCGCTCGAAATGGCACATATCAAACAATGCGATATCCCAGAAATGTGCGGAACATAATTTATTTAAATCACCCCTTTTTATTCGAAATCGCGCGCATTCAGCATTGCCATTCGGGAGCGAAAATGACGAGGCAAGCACAAAATTGATTTTTTTTTCACTCTTCACAAAAAAACAGATAAATAAAAGTGAAGTTTTTTGCTTATGCACTATTGCCATAGTTTACCTTTGGTGTTTTCCTCACCAGAAGTTCTATTATAAAACAAACTAATTCGCTGAAGGAGAAAATGCAAAGTTTTTTACAAGTTTAATTATTCTGTGAAGTGTTAAGACGATTGTCCGATAATTTCTTTTATTCATATTAATCTCTTCGTTTGCTTTAATCGCTCCTGTTGAGCGATGGAATAATACAATCGCAACTGAACTTTGAAATTACAACTCTAAGCTTGCATACACAATGGTACATTTATTGATTTGAAAATCTCTTAAAAACTTTCTGTTACGCGATCTCGCACATACAAAACAGATTCGACAACCAACAATTCCCAAATGGTAATTCAACCCTCGCCATTGCACGCCGTGGGTGTTCTCTCTTTTCCATTACCAACTTTTCGAACGCAAAAAAAATTCATTGGTTCAGATATTGTTTTTTTTTTTTTCACTTCCCGCATCAACTGTTCTTTCGCCAAAATGCCAAATGTCAAAAAAGGTTAATGATGATGGACGATTGCGTGCACTTTTTTCTCATTATCAAACAATTTTCATTTTATTACCATCCATTTACGATTATGTTTTCTTTAATCAAAATGCAGTCGAATGCATTAAATCACTTTGGTAACCTTTTGCTGTATGTTTTTTTTTATTCAAACCCAATTCAGACTACATTTCACTCTTTGTGTGCAAGAGTTTACTCAAACTAATCGATTATGTAAAAACTTGGAATGAAAACAGTGCCACTGCATGAAACAATGTATATATTTTCAAGTTTCTAGTTGGAAAGTTTTTGATATGAAAAAGTGGTAAATCATGCATACAATGTGAGCGATTTTCTGTTGGCTTTATTTGGCCAAGAAGTCAAGTCCTTATAATAGCTTATAAACATAAATACTCAAGCCAAATCTCTGGAAAATAAAGGTGTACATATTCACTTGTTGTTATTTTACGTTAATCATGTCACGACCCAAGCAACCTGCAAACGAAACAAGAGAAATCTCCAAACGTTAGCAATTGTTATTACAACTATAATCCCTGGAATGGATGGAAAAATCAAGTGTCAAAAGTTATCAGTGTTGAAGCGAAGAAAAGGAAAGCGAAAAAAAGAAACCCCGGAAGATAGACAGTGTGATAGACGTAGTAATATAATCCTTTTCCCAAGTGAAAAAGGCCTTTTTCAATTCGCAATGTTAAAAGCCATGTTTACTTGAGTGCCATGGTACGACTCCGAAAAGTTTTGTTCCCTGTTCTTCATCCAATTTTTTCAAATCTTCGAAAGTAATTATCTTTATTTTTGTTTCGATGGAGCGGCTTTTGGTAAATCCATTGCGGAAATAAAGTCGTGCTCTTCGGATAACAATAATTCACTTTCGAAAATATTTTGGTTTAGCTTGTGGATTTTTTTTTCTTCCCCAATCCAAGATTACAATTAGCGATGAACATAAAAATTGTTATATCTTTTTTTCGGCATTGTTATGACGTGACAGAAGGGAAAAAAAATGGTGTACGGTATTCGCTGGAAGGAACGAAGAGCACGCGAAGGAAAGACTGTCGCATATAATTCCATTAAAGTGTCGCCTATGTAGAAGAGAACGGCTTGTTACCCCATTTTTTCCTTATGGTCTGGAACTCATCATCTGATTTATAAATAAGCAATGGCAAATGGTTTATGTTGCCTAAAATCGGGCGCTTTGTATAATTAATGAATTTCCGTGTATCATTCCGTGACAATGGAATTCACTTGCAGTCGTATCATGTTTCATCTATTTACACTCAGCAAAGCAATGAAATGTTACTCGGTGTATTAAACGAAACACAGACAAACCCGGTTTGAGAATGGAATCATCACCTACGGTTACGATTGAAATAATTGTACATCAAGTACTGTGGATTTTCCAAACATGGTTTTGAATAAGCATAAGCACATGATTTCCTCATTCGTCATTTTATATTCTGCTACATTTCCGTACGTTTTTATCAAGTCGATTTTCATCATACGGAATGCTCTAATTTTCTCTTCCTCTGTCTCTCACTTTCAAAAATGAGTCATTTCTTTTTTTCATTCAGGCGAATCATTTGTTTTTCCATTACGGTAGGTAAATCGAAAGCGTACATAATGCATTCGCACTAGAAAATGGCTTGAGTCTTTTGAGCTATGAATTAACCATAAATTTTCTTTTGTACGAATTGCACAGAGGAAAACAAATGAATCTCTGTGTGTGTCTCTTTAGAATCAACACTTAACGATGAATGAAAATTGTTGGCATAAAAAAGAACGGTAAAATACACTTTGTGTGTGTTTTTACTGCAAAATTACTGTTGGTGTTGCCTGTCGTGCTTACACAAAGATTTATAACTGAACAAATGTTCCCATTAAACGGGACACGATCGTTGATATTCTTCAATCCGTGTGTACACGTATACAGCATTTGAAAAGGGAAAGCGATTCATATAAATGATTTTCATACTTGCCCCGTTCTCATTGATTTATTTTGCGGGCAATTTCAGTTTTAATGGGCTCAGAGTCCACATTACGAATCGTTCACAATAATCAGTAATTGGCGAACAGCTGACAGAGGCCAATCA